TTTATTCATGAGAGACACAAAGAGAGAGAGAAAGAGACAGAGACACAGACAGAAGGAGAAGCAGGCTCCATGCAGGAAGTCTGATGTGGGACTCGATCCTGGGACCCCAGGATTAAGCCCCCGGCCGAAGGCAGGCACCAAACCACTGAGCCACCCAGGGATCTCCGTCCTGGCTTCTTTTTAAATCCATCTGTTTAAGTTTGGGAAATCCCATCAAACTGGGTGAAAATGGGAACATCAAAAGCCTAAAAGAATCTGAATGTCAATATCATCACAAAGTAAGAAGTATCTCAGTTTTCTAATGCACAACGATTTACAAACTCTGTGGCTTCATGCATCTTTTATATATACTTAACAGAACACAGGATGGTTCTTCTGTGGTTTCTGAATTGTGGCTGAATTCTTCAAGCCAGGATGAGAGGTGCCAAGTATCTTCACTTTCTTTTTTTTTTTCAAGATTTTATTTATTTATTCATGAGAAGCACACACACACACACACACACACACACAGAGGCAGAGACATAGGCAGAGGGAGAAGAAGGCTCCATTCAGGAAGCCCAATGTAGGACTCGATCCTGGGTCTCCAGGACCATGCCCTGGGTCGGAGGTGGCGCTAAACTGCTGAGCCACCCGGGCTGCCCAGTATCTTCACTTTCTAAGGACAGCCACCAGACACATCCCCAACCTTCCCCTGAGCCTCTAGAGGAGAAGACTGGAGGAATTCCAGGGGTCTTCAGCATGGGACATCACCAGCTGGGGAACAACACCAGGCTTTTCCTCTTCTGTCCTCAGAGGGAGGCCAGGAATTACTGTCTACCCTGAGCCAAGTGAGGGGGCTCTAAGACAGTCTTTCAAATATAGGAAGAAATCTAGAGAAAGACAGACAGGCGCCCTCCTAGCTGGTCTGTTTGAGCAGTAGGACTGTGCCTGTCTGAGCAGGAGAGAGGAGCTAGAGAGGTGACAGAAATGAAGGAGAGACCGCATTCCTTCACTATCCACTCATCAGGTGAATGTCTGAGTGACTTTCATGTGCCAGGCACTAGTCTGGGTGGTAGAGACATAGCGGGGAACAAAAAAGACCAAATCACTCCCTTCTTGGAGGTTCATTCCAGGGGAGGGAAGCAGATCATAAGCAAGAATAGGTAAAATATACAAGCTATTGAAGGTGACAGAGCAAAGGATAGCTCAAGCAGGGAAAGGGAGAGGGAGTGCCCTGGTGGGGTGAGGGGACACAGTTTTGGGAAAAGGAGGCCAAGGAAGATCTCGCTCAGCAAATGACACCTGAGCAGAGATCTGAAGATGATTAGGGCCCAGTGCATGGGGCTCTGGCCACGGGCCACGTGTAAACTTCCGGAGGAGAGGAGCACTGGATTGTATGGAGACTGGGACGTTTAACAGCTGAAGATGGTCAGGAAGGTAAGGAATTTGTGATGTGATTAAGCGGTAAAGACGAAGAATCGACAGAGCACGAACAAGGTAAGGCATTAACTGGAGACCCAAGAATTTCGCTGAGATCAAGAGTCAGATGTGTAAACGACTGAGCCACCCTGATGCCCCCACCAGGATTTCATTTTTTTAAAATATTTTATTTATTTATTCATGAGACACAGAGAGAGAGGCAGAGACATAAGCAGAGGGAGAAGAAGGCTCCCTGGGGGAGCCCAATGCAGGACTCCATCCCAGGACTCTGGGATCACGACCTGAGCGGAATGTAGACTCTCAACCACTGAGCAACCCAGGTGCCCCACAAGGATTTTATTCTAATGCCGCATCTAGTTCAGGTTCTTTGATAGACTAGTAACACAGACACAATTTTACATTGTTGCTAGTATGCATAGAAGGATGGAGAAACTCCACCACAGATACCTTAGGTCAAACAGCTGTTTCTGTCTGTGACTTAGGCATCTTACCTATAAATGCAGATGCTACTTAGTGAAGTCATACATAGCTTGAAAGATCTAGATTAAAATACTTAACATAAGGGAAAACTAAAAATACTATGAAGCGTCACGATTTTGAATAAAACACCAAAGAACATACCCAGTAAATATTCCATGCCTTGAGCTGACTGAATTACTTCTGTGCACACAGAACTACTACTGATTCCGTTTAACGTATCATTTGCCTTCTTAATGACCTAAGAGAAATGAAATCAAATCATCTTATACAATCGAGAAAAGTCCTTGCAAATCAATTTCTTTTTTTTCTTTTTGCAAATCAATTTCCTACTTGTAGAAAACCCAAGGGAGAAGCCAGGGGGTGTGAAAGAGCGTGACAGACTGATATACATAGACGACTGTGCTGACATGAATCTGTGAACTTAATTTTAACTTTGAAGAAACAATCTTCCACTTCTTTGGATAAGATAGAGGTTCTTTAGTTTAAATGTTATTTTAATTTAGGTAACGTTAATGATATCATCTTGTTATTTTTTCAACACAGTGACAAGTGAGGGCACAAGTGACCAATGAGCTAGTGTTTGCTTTCATAAATGTGAAAGAAGCCTCCCTTAAGATGTAGGACTTTCCATAGAGCTTCCCTTTGCATGAGGCCATCGAGGGAGGGCTCTCCTCAGTCCCTTCGAATGAACCAAAAAGAAGGCAAAATGGCACAAGACAGCACTTACATACATGTGAGCACCACAAAAGTAACATACTTACATCTAGAGCACTCCCCAGGCACCTCTGCCATTCATATGCATATCTCTCATTCTCCTGTGAAATTTATAACAAGAACTGGGTTGAACAAGGAAGGCTGGAATCCTCAATGATTTCTGGCAATTTAAAGAGCATTGGAAGACGTTCCTTTTTATTCAAACCACTCTACTTCAATCGTGGGTTATCTTTTGAAACCACTAATGACTACTGAAAATTACTAATATGTGTAACTTGTGAGTACAGGGTTTGTGAATCTGAGGGGGAAATGTTTGGAAGCAGCTTCCCTTTGTAAATGTTGCCTTGTTTGTTCTAGTAATAGTGTAAACTTCTTCAAAGGAACTCACCACGCAGATGTTTGGTTTAAGAGCTAACACTAAGCCACCGGCTTCCCCCTTCCCACCACCAGGACACTGCCTGCTTATGAATGACAAGGAGGGGCAAGGAGAAGCATTCAGGCACTGGCTGTAGGGAGCATGGGACTAAGATGCAGCAAATAAAGATCCAGAACACACTCCCCACCCAGAACCCTATTTTGATGTTTTAACACTCGCTAAGTCTAAAGCTATAAAGTCTAAGTGCTCTATGAAAAATTCCTTCAAACACTTCCCTTCTTGTGAGGTCTCATGAATACTTTCAATTTTAGGGTCACTGACAACTTTCAGCAGATGTCCCATCTGAGAAGTGTTTTCATCCAGGGCTAATGTTGCCATTCTCTCCTTTTAATTAAATATTTTATGTTTGGTTCCTTGTGACTTTCTGCTCTCGCTTCCCCATAAGCATTTTTTTCTGGAGGCTCTCAGTGCCCTGTTCATCTTTTACCAACCCCTGCCCTGTAATAAACTTGCTTACTCACCTCCACCTCTCCAGTCAGATCTTTGTACTTGTCACGAATGACAGGCAGAGCTGGCTTCTCACTCAGAGTGTTGGACCGGTCTCTGAAAGGCTGCTCCAAAGCCGGGGAAGGAGAAGAACGGCTTATTTCTTTATCACCAAGGCTCAAACTCCTTTTGTGTGATCCTAGAGAAGTGGATGGCACGGTCAAAGTTCTCATTACTCAGCTTAATTCAAGCCGAGGCTTTTCTTTGCTAACATGACCCTCTTCTTTAGATGCTTACATCATGTCACAAAGCATTCAGAAAGACACAATCCTTGTTCATTCTTCTTTGGCAAGCTATCCAGGCATATCTCAGAGATAGTGTGTTTTGGCTCCAGACCACATCAATAAAGTGAGTATTGCAAAAAAGTGAGCCAGATGAATTTTTTTGGTTTCCCAGTGCACGTAACAGTTATGTTTACCCTACCCTGTAGTCTATGAAGTGTGCGGTAAATAGCATTGTAAATATCAGTGCGTAAGAGCTGTGCTGTTTTTCCAGTCATTAGTCATGGATTTGCACTGAGCTCCCACATACCCTCCATCCAACAGAAATCAATAATGCCTTCTGTCAGGATGGGGCTTAAAGCAAAAGGGGCAAACTCAAATGCTTTTGGAGAGCAGGCAGGTCAAGGAAGTGACTGAAGTAGGTCAGCCTTAGACAAGAAGTGTGGGAATGGGAAAGCACGTCCCATCTGTTGGAGGGGGCAGTGTTACTCAGCTCCAAGTTAACTGGCAAAAGGGAGAGATATAGGCCTAGGATTGCCAGATATTACAACTTTTCAAGAAAAGCTAGAAATCCAGATTGTGAAATCTCATGATTCTTATCTACTGGCAACTGTTCCACACATAAAAAACCTTTTGTATGGATCAGTCAAAACAAGTCTGCAGATTGGATCCAGATCCACAGCAACCACGCTGTAGCCTCTGCATTAAAAAATACAGTCCACAGCCAGGTATAAGAGCAGAGGTAACTTGCCCACAAATGGTTCAAATCCATTTCTCTGGCTCTTTTAACATAGTACCCCTCTAGCCAACAAGCTAATGAATAACAGACTGTGCACTATGCTTGTTTTCAGCCTCGAAAGCAAATATCTGAGGGATACGCTTGACTTTACTTCAGTTGCAAACCTTTTTTATAGCTATCTATAATAGACCCTGACTTCAGAGGCTGCAAAATCTATTTCTCACTAAACCAGAGACCAACTTTGTTTTTGTTTTGTTTTTTTGACTTTTTATTCATACAAAAAAACCTCTAACACCTCAGTGGAAGAGACCACCAGAGTACAATAATCTACACTGCAAGCTACTCACCTTGAACAGAAAGGTCAAAGGTCTCCAGCTCACTTTTGATCATTTCTTCACTAGATTTCATTTTGCTCTGTGAATTGGCCACCAAAAAGTCAAATTTGCTGATTTTGGGTTTTTCACTTTGAAACTCTCCAAAGTCATCCAAACACTCTTTGGGAGTGTCGTGAGAAGTGCTGCTGGAAGCTGGGCTCAGACACGTGGCCTCTTGGCTCTGTTCGGCTGAAGGTAAGTCCTGTCTTGTGAAATCTTTATAGTCCCCGCTTTCATATTCCTTTTGCTCACTGGTCTGAGGAATCACATCTTTAAAATTGGCAAAAGCTGGGAAGGTGGTCTCTGGAAGAGCATCTTCATTTGTGAAGGTTGTTACTTTGGGGAGAGAGGTCATGGTGAGGTTTTCAGAACTGCCAAATGAAGTCTCTTTCTTTGGAAGAACTGAGGCAGCTGAGGAGGATCCGCTTCCTGCTGAGAGGACAAATGGAGAGAGTTTTCTGCCCTGAGATGCATCATCCCTGTCTGACCAGTCATAGCTCGTAAGTGTGCTCACTGCAAAATTGCTACTGTAGGTTCCAAAAGCAGCATATTTTAAGTCCTCTATATCTGAAAGGGAAATAAGACCCCACAATTAGAGGCAAGCTCATGATTTAGGCAAAATGCCCTAAACTCTGCAGAAGCAAAATGTCTAGCATATTTGATTAGTTTTATGCTATGTTGGAATTAACTAAATTTAGAGCTTGTACTAAAATTAAAGGAATTGGGCTGTAAAATCTGATCTTTAAAAACTCACATTAGCTTTGCATTGGAATTTACATTTAGTTACAAAGAGCCATTTTATTTGCATGTAAAGATTACTATAAAAAGACAGGACTGTTATCTACCAGTGTATGACATGAGTAGGATCATTTAATAAACTGTTCACTTCTGAACTTTAGAATGTATTTAACAATATCCCTACCTAAAACTGGACCCTTTCATCTTGACTTGGTTGGAAAATGTTCCTTTAACACATGGATGTATGAAATACACGTGACAAACTAATTAAAAACTGACAATTTCCCCAAAGTAAAGTGAAAATAATATTACCTAACATTTAACCAATTCTTACTTAGCAGTCTCTGTCTCAGGCAAGGTCAAATATAAGATTTTAATTAAGTAATTACTTACCTAGTTGTTATTTTGGTCAATATGGAGGTCACACTGCTGTGATGGAGTATGAGGAAAGAAAAATCAATCTAATCTATGCTAGTCTCTAAAAAATAGAATCAAAGGTCTGGGTGCTGGTGGGCTCCTGTTTCTCCTTCAAGTACATATCAGCCCCTCATTTAAAAAAAAAAGAAAGGAAGAAAGAAAGAAAGAAATGCTGAGGCAGAACACTCATTTTACAAAGCGTTAATATGTTTAAAAAAAAATTAAGAGGCAGCATAGAACAGTAGAGAAAACACAGGAGTTTTTTTGTTTTGTTTTTTTTAAGTAGGGCTACGCATGGAGCCAACCCGGGGCTTAAACTCATGACCCGGAGATAGGGACCTCAGCTGAGATCAAGAGTCGGGACGTTTAGCCAATCGAGGCCCGCAGGAGCCCCAAAAGTGTAGGTTTTTTATTTAGACAAATCACAGTTCAACTCCTAATGGTGCCACCTGCTGCTTGTGTGACACTACGCAAGTTATTTAACGTGTCTTAACCAGAGTTTGCTTCTCTGTAAATTGAGAAGACCAGGGCCTTGGAAGGGCTGTGCTGTGATGCTGAACCGGGACCACACATAAAGGGCCAGCTCAGTCCTGAGTGAGCAATAGGTAAGAGCACTACTTGCACAGCATAGTTGCCGCTGGCCTCCATCTGACAGTTGCTGCTGTAGGGCCTAAAATGGAATCATTTCAGAGTAAAAATGGACTATCAACTCATCATCTTAATGGTCTTACTAGGGGAAGTTTTTTGCCATTTTCAAAAAATGAAACCAGCCAGGCTGAAAGTTGTCCACTCCAGTGTGCTGTCCACCCAGTCTGGCTGCTGGGTCGTTTCCCCCAGTCACTGAGCAGGAGGCCAGAGGGCTGGGGGCAAGACTCCCGCTCTCAGACAACCACAGACACGGCTCATGAGGCAAGTGCTCAAAAGCCTCAAAAGTTCTGTGACCCAGGCATTCCTGACTAAGGCAGCAGGTGAACCACACTAGGTCATTTTTGTCTTTCTTCTGCTAAGCAGTAAGTGATTCCTGACATTTCCATAGCTCTTCCAAGAGTATGCTCCAAACCTCTCTTTCTCTTTAAACAGAATTAGGAAAAGAGTACTCAATAATAAAAGTGGAAAACTGGATTACACAAAAGCAGATCACTTGCACAGAATTGTATATTTTAAACCTCTGTGGTGTAAATGGTACCCTTCAAATCTGGCTTATTAAATATGAGGGGAAAAAAAGGTTCAGGTGAGAAATGTACACTTTAGAATGAATAAAACAAGGCTCCAGGCAAAATGCTTTCTTGGTCTCTGGCTGCAGTGTTTTGTCTATCCCCTCACTTTGCCCCAATATCTGAAGAGATCAGCAGGTGCCCTGACTCAAACGAGGTGAACTGCAATCAGGAGGCAGATGCAGTTAAACGTGAGAGTCGTCTTCAAGGGGTGCATTCAGAAAAACGTCTCACAATCCGGGTATTTTTTTTAATCCGGGTATTTTTATTATTAGGCCGTACCAGAAAGCTTTTTGAGGAAGCTGTATTATGAACTGCTCCAAGAATCTCATCTAACGGAGGTAGCAATTTTCTTGAAGATCAAAGGTAATTTTAATGAAAAGTTAAGCTCTAGTTCAAAAACCAAAACCCAGTTGCTATGGTAATAAAATTACCCATTTGTGCAATTATGCAATAAGAAAATAACAAGGGTTTAAAAAAAAAACAACAGAAATGATTATAATATTATCAGGTAAAATGCATTATAAAAACAAGGTATTATTACCTTAGCTGAAGAGCTTTTAAATATTTTTATAATTTTACAATACTACAGATCTTCATCAAGTTTAACTTTTATTAAAAATGAGAGATGTATAACATTTTGCCTTTTGAGCAACTCTTAGAAATGACCAGCTGAAAGGTTAAAAAAATTATATATTAAAAAAAAGGAGAGTAAATATACAAAATAGACCAAAATCTAGCCTATGTTGATTTAAAATTTTTCACTTTTGCTTATTCATTGGCCACTAGAGTGTAAAAATAATGTACTGAAGTGCAATTCATTTGAACACATAGGGAAATACTAAGCTGAATTACATAAGGAATATGAGAACACTGTCTTCCTAAATCTTAGCATTTATAAATAATATAAAAACTGAGTAGTATTCCTGGAATGGTGAATATTAGTAAATCATTTTTTTATTTTTTTAATTTTTTTTAAAAATTTATTTATGATAGTCACAGAGAGAGAGAGAGAGAGAGAGAGAGAGAGAGACAGAGACACAGGCAGAGGGAGAAGCTCCATGCACCGGGAGCCCGACGTGGGATTCAATCCCGGGTCTCCAGGATCGTGCCCTGGGCCAAAGGCAGGCGCCAAACCGCTGCGCCACCCAGGGATCCCCTAGTAAATCATTTTTAAGAGAAATGTGGTAAATCAGTTCACTGAGGGTAGGTTAAACTAAGAAAATTTCTCATTGCCCATGTTAACAATTTTACATTTTCTAAGCAAACTACATGTATTATTGTATGATGGTTTTCAAAATATTAAAGATGCTATAAGACCTACAACATAAGTGATGGAAGCCCTGTCTGGTAAAATGATGTGGAATAACCCATATTTTGTAATCACTGAAGTTTCTATAGATGGGTTTTCCATTTGATATTTGAATTCTGAAAATTGCGAGAGAGAAACAGGAAAAAGAAAACAGAGATGGATGCAATAAAATGAAAAAAGAATCACTACTGTATTTCCAGTTCTGGTGAGCTCTGAGGCTGTGCTAGGTTGAACAGCAATTGCACACAAATAGGCCAAATTGTGTGCTGTAATATAGGTATTTGTTGGCAACCAGGAATGTCCTATTACAAAGGCCAAAGGAATCAACAAGGCCAGCTCCTTTCCATCATGGATCTCAAATCAAGACATGGATTTCTTGCTTATGCTGGCAAGTAACCCTAGCAGTCTCTTCCATAACGTCTATCCAAATCCCTTCTGAACAGATGTTGAAGACAAAAACAAGGTTATTTCTTGGAACAAAGAATGTGAGCTGCCACTACAAGATGTAAAGGTCATACTGATTTCCATGGAAGTTTTCTAAAGCAGTAAGCATATGCCCAGGTGATTAAATTCCTGGCTTCTGAGAAGGGGGTTTAGAAAAAGAAGAAAGGATACATGTGCAAAGTCCACTAGTCTCCAGTGTTTTAAAAAGCAATAAAAATGTTCATTGGACTAAGGAAGAAATACCTTTTAATTTCCAATACTAGTTTAATCATGGTTTACCAAGGCAAACCATGAGATATTTACACATCTCAACTTCTTTCCACCCCTGGCCCTATTTCTACCTTCACATGCTCTGTTAACTATAAAATCTGGGCTGTGTCCTATAAGTCTCAAACACTCTGAAAGTTGTTCAAGAGAAGAGGAATGAAAGTGACCACAGTGTACATTATGACAGGCTACAAAATGCTGCAGTATAATTGCCTTGTAGTGTCCTCTAATCTGCATAGAAACCTCCCATTCTTCCTTTGTACTGACTCACATAAATCTATGGTTTAAATGATACCCACACTATCTGTAAGCACCTGCAGGTTTCTGTGCCAGTGCTCTAAAGTTCAATAGAGAAAAGCAGCTATTTTGTGGGTATTTTAAATCAGAGGGGGCTGGAAGGTCAAAGAAGGTGTCAGGATATACAGTTGACTCTTGAATGACATGGTTTGAACCACACAGGTCCACTTACACATGGATTTAAAAATAAATACAGTTTAGTACTATAAATTTTCTCTTCCTTGTGACATATAACATACAAAATATGTGTTAACTTTATATTATCAGTAAGGCTTCTGGTCAACTGTAGGCTACTAGTCAAAAATTGTATGGGGATTTTGGATGGCACTGTGGGGGTCAGTGTTCCCAACCCCCATCTTGTCCAAAGGTCAACCATACAGTGGGACTGGTCATGGTTATCATGAGAAATCTCATTACAAAAACCCATCAAATGAGCACAGAAGATGGCAATGTGGGGCCTTTTGGCCACGCAAGGGAGAGGGCAGCACTCAGAAGACCCTTCTATGCACATGAACTTATCGTGCTCTCAAAGCCATTGGGCCAACATTTTCCAAAACAACGTATCAAAAGAATTCAACTGATTGGAAAAACAAAGCTAGGAGCAGCTCTTTAAAAAGAAAATAATTTGATTCAAGTTATTCTAGGATTTAGCCCAGCTTTGATATGCCAGTGTCCCCTTCATGTTCGTTTGCTACTTTGAAAAGATCAGCAGAGATTTTAACATGAACAACAGAGTAACTGTAAAACATGAATACAGTTGTATAATTTCTCAGGCACTGATGTTTGATGTCAAGCACTAACTGTATTGCTTTACTTGGCACTGGAGTACACAGAATAGTACTTTTTTGTTTGTTGGAATCTATAGCTTAGAGTTCTTCAAGTCTTTATTTCAAGTTTATATTATTATTAAAACGTCACCCCTAAAAAGCAATGTTACTCTGGAAATAGTAACTGCTCAGTTTATGAACGGGATTATGTTTTATGCACAGTTATATTCAGCCATTTTCTGCAGCCTGCTCAGGTAAGCGCAGAAAGGACAAAATAAAGCAGTCCCAGATGGACCAATCTAGCATTAGATAATTCCAAAGCCACAAGACTAGTTTTATATATGGCACCAAAAAATCCTAAATAAAGGACAGTTGGTATCATCACTAGCTGGAGGCTATACCAAGATCTCTTTCTTCCAAATTAGTTAGCAGCACACACTGTAATTAAGACTTAATATATTTATACAAGGTTTCTGAAACCAAGTATTATCCAACTTTCTAAAGCATTAATTTCTGGAAAAAACAGTAGTTTGAATGGCAGACTCAGCTTTGCTTTCAGTTAATCTAAACCTCAACATGTAACTTTTTTCTTTCTCAAATGGCCTATTTCAAATACTGTAAGCGATCTCTATGGACTCCTATTCAAAACCCTCATCTTTAATTGTTTAATTTCCTTTCTGCCTCAGATTTTTAAAAAAGAACAAAGAACTAAAATCTCACAAAATAAGAAAAAAAAACGTAAACCATGGAAACAATCCTTTTTCCCAAGGATTTTATACGCCTTGGGTTTATGATCTAAAAAACATTATCATTCATTCCCAAGGTTTTTTGCTTTAACATACTCTAAAATGGAAAAAAATACTTTCCAAACTTGGCATTCTCTTACTGCTAACTTTTGTGTGTCTTTCTAGAATTTTCTTCAAAATGAACATAATTTAAAGCTTACTTTGAGGTCATCCCCTAAAATTGTTTAAGAACTTGGTTTATGATGGAATATTACTCAGCCATTAGAAACGACAAATACCCACTGTTTGCTTCGATGTGGATGGAACTGGAGGGTATTATGCTGAGTCAATCGGAGAAGGACAAACATTATATGGTCTCATTCATTTGGGGAATATAAAAAATAGTGAAAAGGAATAAAGGGGAAAGGAGAAAAAATGAGGGGGAAATATCAGAAGGGGAGACAGAACATGAGAGACTCCTAACTCTAGAGGTGGTGGCAGGGGAGGTGGGCGGGGGGTGGGGGTGACTGGGTGAAGGGCACTGAGGGGGGCACTTGATGGGATGAGCACTGGGTGTTATTCTATATGTTGGCAAATTGAACACCAATAAAAAATAAATTTATGAAAAAAAAAAGAACTTGGTTTATGGACTATGAATAAAAAAAGACTCAGGGTGGCTTCCTGATACATTCTGAAGTTAAGAAAGATAATGTGCTCTACAATTAGAGGATGAGTGCCCATTTCAGACTCACACTGAATTCAGTCCTGACGACTTCCTGGTAGTAACACCTGAACACTTTCCAATACAGAGATTGGCAAGTTAAATTCAGTTTGCATGTACTGTGTTCAGAAGTCCATTTCTATATCATTTCATGATTTAAGTTAAATTTACAGATATCTAGTTATTCACAGATATATCATATCCCCTCATCCCCAACACTCAACTCTTAGATCTGTTCCCTGAGCTGCTTCCTCTCTTCACACTGTAACTCCTAGTGCAGATAGGCTCTGTGATGTTTACTAAGCAATAACATATATTCCTATTTTCTACTACAAGAAAGGAGTAAATATCCCCTATTACATAGCATAGGGTTAAAGTTACGTTTTAATCCAGTGCAATGTTAAAAATTTCTATCAGTGGAATTATAAGGGGAAAAGGCTAAACCAATATTTTCTTAGGAGAAAGGTATTTGGAAAACAAACAAACAAACAAACAAAAGGGAAAGACCCTCTAATCACAAGAGGTACTATTATTGCTTTACACTTGATATGGACCAGGTATTGCTCTGGTCTAACCCTGAAAAAGTACAAATTACACACATCCCCACACTTTCAAAATATGCCAAAGAATTATTTATTAACATAGGACTTACAGATCACAAAAGAGAGTGGTACAGAAGAGCTGGAAAAGAAGTCATCAGAATAAGCATGCAGATCAGTATTTGCAGAGGAATATACCAAAGCAAGTTCGAAAAGGCACATTCACACAGAAAATGTCTAAATTGAAAAAAAGACATCTGAAAAGCAGCCAAAAAAAATACTAATAATAAGGCGCTGATTAAAATACAATGATTTTCAATGTCAAAGAAGAGCTACTTTACAGGTAGGTAGGTAGCTAGCTATAGAAGTCCTGCTAAACCCTTTGAGAATGTCACAATGAGGGTAAGCTCTTGCTGCCAACAAAACCAGATGATTGTAATGATTGCACATCAAGATGCTTTCGTGCCAGAAAGATTAAATTTAGTGGTGGGGACAAAAGCAGCCTAGTTGAAATTATATGCAGCAAGGGCTCAAAGGGTTAAATGTAATAATATGCAGAAAAATCAGGCAATGTTATTAGTATTATCTACCTTCCATACAAAGAATTATAGCGAGAGTTAAAAGAGACAGTATCCCCTTCAGAGTTAAGTTAGGGTTTCTAAACAAGATTAAGGTCCAGAGATAGCAATATACCAGGTTTTATTCTCTTTTCATCAGCCCATTTTTTATTTCTCCAACAAGAAGTACCTTTAACCCTCAAACTAAGAGAGCAAGAGATACTGTAGTCAACATAAGGTTAAAGTTAAAACCAACTGCACTGAAGAAGTCCCTGCCATTTACCTTCTACAGTTCATGTATGCAGCAGTTTTGCTCAACAACAATATAACTCATTGGTCAGACATCAACCCCTTTTAACAACCGCTCTAAAGGGATACTGCTCCTTTCCGACAGGAGGTTTACAGATCAAAAAGATGAAACAATCTGCTTTTTAAGAATATCCTCAAACTGAAGAGATTTGGCTTGAACATTACAGGTTCAAAGCTGGGAGTGTTCATAAAACATACATAAAAGAACATGAGCACAGAAGATTATTTTAACAGGTCAGTCAGAACAAGCTCAGTCAAAAAACCTCCCCTCCCCAAATAAAATGAAAAAATTTAAAAAGAAGGAAAAAGAAAAAGACATCCCAAATCTGATTTTAGACTCATCTCAGAAAGGCATCTAGCTTGGCACTATGAAAGAATATAGATTCACTTTCAGAAAAATAGCTTCTAATTAATAACTTCAGAGTCCAAAAGGCTAGTATACATGTCATGAGATTTTCAAATAAAAATCAAATATTTTCCAAAAAACAGAGCACTTTGCAACTGACCACTATGGCTCAAGTAGCTCATACAAAAAAAGAGAAACAAAATCACTCTATCGAACAAACAGCAGCAAAAAAATAGGAAAACACATGAGGAAAAATACAAAAAATGAAGTAGACAGTCGGGCACAAGAAGCTCTGTAGTCAGTCCACTGCCCTTGGACAATGCCTTAGCAAGCCACTGTGTGAAACACGTACTGTCTCTGAAAACCTGCTCCCAATTCAGCATGCTGTTTAAAGATACCTGCAACACTTCAGGAGCCAAAGGATGGATGCAATTTTGTTTTCTGACTTAGCAGTTTGATATACGCAAAATCTGTAATACTTGGACATTTCTGCCGGAATCTGTAAACTTGAAGTGTCTCGTGTATCCCTCTCTGGTTAAAAAACAACAAACCCTTCATACGCATATTTTCTAGAATAATACAGTAATACTGAGATAGTTCTCATTATTAAAGGCCACAAAATGGGTTTATCTTTCTATATAACATACCAAATAAAAGAACAAAATAAAAACGAGGACACTTGGGAATCTAGTTTTCAGGACAGGAAGCTGAACTAGAGCTAGAGAATAAACTGTTTACAAGTCAATCCACACAGAATTTAGAGAGGGCTCCCTTGTAAGATGTTTTCAAATACTTTATGAGAAAGTTAGTAGTTATCCTATCCTACCATCTACAGATTTGTTACAATTTAATACTTCCAGTGATAGAGTTCACGTCGAAAACCGTACCTGAATTCCACTAACAACTCATGCCCTTCTCCTTGCCAGACTCTGGCACACAGGACATCCACATACAAGTTTTCTCTCTCCTCTCTTGTGGGAACGTGGCAAACTGCAGTACAACTGGCTAGACATTTTTACTTTCTTGGCCTAACAAGAATCTGTTTTTGTTAACCAAACAGGATACTATATTCGCAGCTGCCAAACAGACCCAAGAGAAGAGAAAAGGAGAGGGAAACACTGACCTCACTCAGAGAAATAGAGGAACATTACTGACACTGCAAAAGTCTTTATGAAATTCCTGGTGATGTAGCATTCATTCAGCAGTGGATTTTTATGTGCCTTGAACACCAAGTTGGCGTTTGGCTTCAAAAATAAAAATATTTTAGGAATCCGATCTACGTTCCATAGCATTCACGGGATCCATATATCCAAGTATCCATAGAATCATATTTAACACTGCTTTAATGGGATTGGCAATGAAGAGGTTATTAGAAATTCATAAAGGTTAAGAGCCAGAGCCTTCTCTACTGAAAATCAACACCCACCAAATCATCTTTGAAATCTACATCACCATCACCAGAGTAATCTCACCAATTCCTCACCTGCAGCAGGAGGATGCTGGCCACTAACTGTTGGTAAATCCAAAGAGCTATCAGACATGACATGCTTAAGATCTCCTCCCACATCAGCCAGTTTCATGTCAAACTGAACAGAGAGTGCATCTTCAGAGTCCTCTTTGCCAACACTGCTGCCACCAATGGAAGGGAGATCCAGGGACTTCACCGAAGCAGAGTCTTCTTTGGTGTGTCTGAAAGCCACTGATTTCTCACTCAGGGCTTTGTCTGAGTTCATGGAGGAAAATTTACTGGTGTGGAAGTCAGCAAAATCATCATCACTTTTTCCTGAAGGAGTGTTATCTTTCAATTCTTCAACACCTAGTCCAGATCCTTCCAGAGAAAGTTGTCTGAAGACATCGTATTTGGTAGATGAGGCAGCTGAGTTCTGTACACTCTTCACTGCGCTGCTCGAGCTGCCGGTTAGAGGAACAGGACTAGCTTCCTCTTTAAGGGTATCATATTTGTCATCTGCCTTTTGCTCAGATGAAATAGAGCTATTACTGAAAGCCATAAAATCTGCAAAGTCATCCTGCTCCCCAACAGATGCTGGACTAGAATATTCACCAAAAAGGTTGAATTCTCCAAAATCATCAGCCAAACTAGACATCTTAGTTGATGCCAATGCTGTCGTGGCTGCAGCAGATCCTGTTGGCTGTGGTCGTGTGGAAACAGATTTGGATGCACTAAATGCAGCTGAAAAAGACAATGGTTTCTCGCTGCTGCAGTTAACTGAGGAAAACATATCTAGGTCTGCTAAGTTCAGAGGATTTTTCACTTGTGTTGGTTGTTTCTGTTGTATAGCTCCTGAGGGGAAGGCTGCTGGAAAAGTTTGGTCTTTTGTTGGTGGCTCTAGTGGTGATAGACTATCGGCGGTTTTAAAATCGGTGAAACCATCATCAGTGCCTGCAGATCTGAATTCTGCAAAGTTTTCTCCTGAAAGAAAAAAAATCACAGCCAAATAAATAAGAATGCTGAGCTGAAAACCACATGATGTGCAGCATATTAAATTATAAGATTACTTTTAGAGACTTTTCCCTCACTGGCTTGACATTATTTAACCACACTGTAAATCCCACCAAAACATCTCTTTGGAAGCTACCGATCTGTTTCCCCATTGAAGGCTAGTGATACCAAAATAAATAAAAATCAAACCAAGAACATGTAACAGTATCAGTTTCATTTGCTCATCTAAGTGTGCTATGTCTCCTAGTGCCAGCAGATCCTTCAGTTGGCCAAAAGTGCTTCTCTTAGGACTTTTTCCTCCCACAGCTAGCCAGCCAAGCACACAAGAGAATAAGAAATGCTAATGATAATAATAACAATAAGTGCTAGAAAAAAAATAATAAGTGCTAGAGGTTCCTGAGGAGACACATGCTGAAATAATGATTCTTTAATGATAAAATGTTTACACGGTGATCAATCAGGAAAAAAAAAATCACAGGTATCGAAGTATTATGAAAAATCTTGAATCTAGTATTTAGGATGTTTAACACTTTGCT